TTTTTTTTTTTGTCGAATATGAAAGATTTTCTGGATCGTGAAAGTGAAGTTATTGGTTTGAGAGAATTCTGTGCGTCATGTGAGGAGAGGTTTCGTCGTTGTTCGTGGGATTGAGATTCGAATTTACACGCGAGGGAGTGATCGTTTCGAACTTTCTTCGAGACGAGAGGGAGAGAGACCCTGTTGGAAAGTAATATCGTTGTAATTACTGGGACTGGGAAGTCTCGGCGACTGTTTAGTTGATTCTCGTATAATGAAACTGGAGGTTGGCTCGATAGAGGAGATTTTAAATAGGATGGAAGAATACTTTCCTTGATGAAGAAAACCCGAACACTTTCAAACATTGAAGGAGGAATTATCGGGAGAAGTTGAGAGAGTCTCTGGGTCGGTTCTAATGGAGTCAGAAACGAGAATCTTCGATGAAATTCCGTCTCTAATGATGGGTGTCGTTCGAGGGACAACCATGTAGATTCTGACTCTAAAAATGACGCTGGAATTGAACAATGTTCGTTCCATCCTCGAGTTTTCCTCTGTGATTCTCATCGAAGCTCATCTGTAATCAAAAACGAAACTTTTTCCTCATCTTCCGACCGAATTCAACGTCTACTTCTACCGAATGTTCTGCGCTGTTTTCAAAATCCAAACCTAGCCATAAGTGCAAATGATTTACGAGGAAAAAGAGAAAAACAAACAAGATAGTAGAAACCAGATGTTCGTCGCAGCTAGGTTGAAAATTATTATTTTTGAAGGCAAAGAGGAAGATTACGACTACCTTGAAGACTGAGAATAGAAAATACTTTAAAATTCTTAAAATTCAGCTGAGGCCTTCTAAACACTGTGAGAAAGCCACGAATTCGAAACGATAAAGCATCGGTCGTTGAAATTGCTGCCTAGTTAAAGTTACAAAATCTGGGGATTCTAATCCTTAAATTTTCAAATTAATAGGCGACGTTTTCACACGTTGCAACTTTCGAAGAAAGTCGAAAGAAATCGAGAGATCGAATAGATCGGACAATCGCTCGGAGGAGCGTAAGCAGTTTTCCACGACGGTTGGTGTCGCTGGAAACGCGGGAAATAAAAGTCGAAGAAGGCGCGGATAATGCGCCTTGCGCGCGTTACCCATAAATACCTGTCGGATTTGTGGAGAGAAAAAAAGAAAGAAAAAAATAATCGCCGAGGATATCTACGAGCAACAGGCCTGGAATATCTGGCAGAAACGACGGTAGACCGCCGCTGTGAACAGGGTGTAAAGTATCAAAGATTCGTCGGGCATAGATCTCTGCTGGAACCAGATGACGTGGTGATAATCCTGGCCAAGGTGAACGAACCGATTCTCCCGGCTCTTCGACGACTGGCCTGCCAATGAAACTCCTGTGAAAATCGTGAAACGAAATCGTGTTTCTTGGACCGACGAAACATAGTTATATAGAAATCATAAATCAAAGGCGGATTTCTCTTCTTGGAGAGGAATTCGATTCATTCCTTGGAGGATTCGACTCGTGAAATGCATACAAAATATCGTATGGAACTGTAGAAACAAGACTTGGAAAAACTCGACACAGTAAAGAGAATTTTTATTAAAAGACTGTGAAACTCCATAAGGACAATTTTGGCTGAAAGGATGTGAAGCTTGAAAGACTGTGAGATTCAATGCAGCGACGAAAATTTTGGTTGATTGTCGGAAGAACTATCGAAGAACACGTGAG